ACTAAGATTTATTTTACACATTTTGCTCACCCCTGCCTCATGCTGCAGTCCCGTGCTAGTGTGTGTGTGACAGTGTGTGTGTGTGTGTGTGTGTGTGTGTGACAGTGTGTGTGTGTGTGACAGTGTGTGTGACAGTGCCATTGCACGGCTGGATGGGATTACTAGTGGGCTCTTTAATTATCTGTGAGGGCGAGCGAGGTAGAGATAGTGTGCAGGGAGAGGGAAGCGGAGATGACAGCGCTTGTAAATCTGCCCCCTCTTCCTCGGTGAAGGAGAAGGGGAGGATGGAGTGAGGAAGAGGATGAAGCAGAACAGAAAATCAGCGGAAAAATTGGCGATTAAGTGAATTTTCCGGGACTGGGAAGGAGGAAGAGGAGGATGAGGATGAGGATGCATCAAGAACACACATGCATACTGCTTCTGCAGAGCTGCAACCGATAGCAATACAAACACATTCTCTCTCTGTATACACACACACTATATGCATATCCTCTGGAGAACTGTGTGTGTGTGTGTGTGTGTGTGTGTGTGTGTGTGTGTGTGTGTGTGTGTGTGTGTGTGTGTGTGTGTGTGTGTGTGTGTGTGTGTGTGTGCGTGCGCGTGTGTGTGTGTGTGTGTGTGTGTGTGTGTGTGTGTGTGTGTGTGTGTGTGTGTGTGTGTGTGTGTGTGTGTAAGCTTTAAACAAACCGATAGCCTCACACACCTGCTGTGGTGCAATAATAAGCACAAGGAGCGTCCCCTCTATACATTTGACCTTGACTTTCATCAGCCTCCGAAGCACATTTATCACTTTCAGACGACATCATGTTCCCACGGCGTCGTTTATTGGCGTCACGGCAACAGGGTCGAAGACAAGAGGCGTAATTGATGCTTAATGGGTATGAAGAGGAAGAAGAGCAATTTTTTATGAATGAAGGAGAAGGCTTTGAGTCAAACATCTCGAAACCATTTCACCTGCAAGATCTTGCTTTTGTTAAGGATGACTCATGTTGTTGTTGTTATGACTCAGCAACACCTTGTAGTGAGACGGTGTGTGTGGATGGTGATATCAACAAGAGATCGTCTTTCAGGTCATATCAATGTTTTTAAAGAACCTTAACCAAGCTCCTGCTGATGTGCAGGTGTATATCAGTATGTAGTGTCTCTACTTTAAAGAGTCCTCTCCTGCTGATGTTCAGGTGTATATCAGTATGTAGTGTCTCTACTTTAAAGAGTCCTCTCCTGCTGATGTTCAGGTGTATATCAGTATGTAGTGTCTCTACTTTAAAGAGGAGAGGACTCTTTAAAGTAGAGACACTACATACTGATATACACCTGAACANCCAGTAATACCAAGCAGCTTCTGGGCCGAGTAACCCATCGTGGAACGCTGAGAATGGAGAGGACAGCGTTTCTAAAGATTTCTACCTCATCAGCCCAATTCAGCTTGGTGAAAGCAGATCAAGGACACTTTTAATCTTCTAAAATCTCTTGCCTCATGATACTTGAAATGAAAAAAAATGTCCACACGCATCGGCTGAAAAAATAACGTGTAACCCATGATCCAAGTCTGTACGAAAGAAATCCAGAACAGATTCGTCGTCCGCTTGATGAGCCCAGTACTCATCAGTATAGCACATCTAACCTGCTGATTTCTACGCCTGAAGATTTGCAGCAAACCGGCAATTACAAAAAGATAACACGAGTGGCATTCTGAGAGAAATTGGCTATTTGTACTGGCTTGCTGTTTATCGCTTATGGTTTTTTATTTAAAAATGTGAGTTTAATTTTTTGTGAAGGCAGTTTAGGCACCTTAGGGCAATAAAACACCTATAGGCAAGGCAAGTTTATTTATCCGAGGTTATGGCAACCTTTCAACCAACAAGGCAATTCAATAATGGCTTAACAAAAATGAACGAGAAACCCTTGACATCTACGAGCAAGTGTATTTATCTCCATCCCCTTTCAGGCTGGGAAAAAATAGCTATCTCTGTTCTAATTCAGCGCCTGGACAGGCCCCGACAACCTGCTGCTAGAAATGATACATGGAAATGTCTTTTAGTTGCGAACTCTGGCTGGAGTTCCAAACGAAAGATATTCTTAAAGTACAAATGTTTTCGAGTAAAATTGTACCAGGCAGCTAGGACATACGATGTAAATGTAGACACGGAACAGCAACACGGACCGACCTTTACACCGTGTTACAGGGTAACAGTCCGTATACGCCATTTACGCTTGCCTGTTATGTCTGGGCGAGAAGAGGGACCAGCATATTATATCTATCGTTTTTCCAGGCGCTGGGCGCAACAGTTGGAAGAGGAGGTAGTGTCTACACTTTTATATCAACATACATTGGCCAGGAAAAAGGCAAGTACTGTGACCGTTTTACGCTGTGGCTCGACTAATGGTGATCTGGTCTTTCTTCCCTAACATTAACTGAATGCAGCATGCCGATGGGCCTGAACACAGTTACACGCCGCCTATCAGGCCAGCGCACTGAGAATCTGCGTCACTAAATTTGTAAAGCCACTTACACATTACCAGTGTTTCCGCCTACCATTGTCTTGGAGGGGCGCTGCTGCGCCCCGCCAACGGAGGCCCCGCCCCCCCCCTGGAAATTCAAGTGTGTTAAAAAAAAAAATATATATAATATATATTTTTTAATATATATATAAGTATATATAGCGACCAAATTGCCAACTAATCTATAACTACTGTCACTTTTCACCATTGAACATGTGGCTCTTTTATTAAATAAACTAAACGCTTCCACTTTAAGTTGTGAGTTTAGTGTTTTTGACCCTAAGAAACACTGATGCATTAATCAATAACAATAATCCACAGCTCCTCTCTCTGCTCCAGAGGATTTAAAAAAAAAAATCCCCCCCCCCAGGCAGCACCCCCTCAAAGCAGTAAACCTAGGGGAAACACTGCATTACTGTACATTGTATACCAAGGCAGGTTTGCCATCACTTACTGTACGGAGGCTCAGTCATTGGTACACGTTTATTTATAAAGCTTTGTTGGGTAAACTCCCGTATTATATCTGCTCTCTGATAACACAGAGAGTTGCAAGCAGCTATTGTCTGAGATCTCATGATGTAGTCTTGTTAGATGTGCCAAGAGCAAGGACTGTCTTAGGTAAGACAGCTTTTATGTGCGCAGCTCCACTTGCTTGGAACAGTCTACAGCTAGAATTGAAACTGAGCAATTTCATTCCTCTGCATGTTTTTAAAGCTAGTCAAAGTGAAATGCTCTTTGAAACTATGGGTACTTGTAAATATTGATAAGTATGTAAATGTAGCCTGTAAATATGTTGTATGTTGTTTTATGTTTCATCTGGAACCTATTTGCTGCAGGTCTCCCTTGAAAAATAGATCTATGATCTCAATGGGACCAATCTGGTTAAATAAAGGTTTGAAATGAAAATTGTTTTTGTATAGACTGCTTCAGGTGCTGACCACCAAAACCAAAAAACCTAGCCAATGCTCAACTTTCTCAACTTTTTAAGCAGATGAAGATTGCCTGAACCCTACATTTAACAACATAACAGCACGATGTGTTATGGATTTAAAGGCCACAAACATAACATGTAGGCCAAATAAGACTTTTTTTCCCGGCTTCAAACAGGACTCTTTAAAAAGTTGAAATGCCTCTAAATGCCTCTATCATTGATACGACTCTTATTTACACATTGCTAGATAAAACATCACCACAACACAAACATACACTTTTAGGGAGGGGGATGAAATAATAATTTAAATGGCTATATTTGGTTGGAATGGACCCCTGTATAATCTTTACAGGGCAAACAATCACTCATACCTAAATTAAATAAAGTATTCTTTACTTGGTGTACAACATATCCAATCTCTTTAAAAATCGGTTTTCGTTCTCCCATCTGTAAAAGGAGGCTCTTTGTGCTTTTTAAGTCAACGGCAGCTACAAATGTGCAAAAGGTACAGTAAAGTATCAGTCTTTTGGTAAAACAAATATGATTACATTGTAATGTTACGATATACAAAAAGATTGTGTATGACAGTGTAAATATGCCATCACCAGAAGCCCTAACACAGAGCTTGTTTTGTATATACGCACAGATACGGTTGTATTCCTTGTCATGCCACTGAAGTCATCAAGTTTTCAGCCGGCGGGTTGTCTATGATCTGTTTTTCCGGCAGGGCATAGTCAGCATCCAGGTCTAGTGTGGGAATCATAGCTGTTTTAACTCTCTGAGGGTGAGAGAAAGCACTGTGTTAGAAACAAACCTTTCAGAAAATGTTTTTAAAGTACAAACGGAACAAAACAGTTTTTCTTATTTCTTGTTTTCCCCAGCTTTGCACGAAACACACTGATATCTCCCGTTTGTTGGCCCCTGTTGTGACTGTATGAATGGCAATGTTTGTCTGTCGATCCATCACTTTGTTGGGGTCTTAATCTTATCAACTACTGGATAGATTGTAAAATATAAATATATGGTACAAACATGTGCTCAGGATGAATTGTTTTCATCACATTATTTAACGACACATTCCTTTGCATCTATGACATTCACATCCGCCTCAGCTACATTTCTTTGTTTTGTGTCACTTAACAGATGTTGAGATGGTAAGCTTCATACTTAAATCCACAGCACGTTAGCATTATACATGAAGTTAGGCACTGCTGTGGGCCTTTAGAGCTTAATCTCACAGGCACAGGAGACTTTAAAGAGCTAAACATAAGCTTCCTTCATTTGTCTGATAATGACTTTCACTTACCTGAAGAAATGAGCCTTTGGTGCTGCAGATCTCATGAATGGCTCCAATTGGAATCCACACAATGGAGACCAGAGAGACCCCCCAGCCCACCCCTTCAGCCCACTTCGGGTAGATGTACGTCTCATAGTGAGCAGGAGTGTACTGGACAATGCTGGCGATCAGTATACACTATGAAGGGAAAAGGACAGTCTTAACAAATGTATTAAATAACCATCATTAATAATATTATTGCACAGATAATCTTCTTTAACCCTCACCAGCACCAATACCGGGCAGAGCAGCACCCAGCAGACACGAAAGTAGATGTTTGCAGTTTTTCCCAGCATCCTCGTGATCATCAAGCAGATACGTGGGACACCTGATGGGAGAGGCTGATTAAACACTTGAGAGAAAACCACTAATTCAGATTTCTTCCTGTTGTGAATATATGTAAGAATTCAGTTGAATAAATATCCAGCAAAAGCAGATTTTGGTAGCGTCTGCTTTTGACCAAATAACGCAATCTTACCAAAGATCCAGCAGACAGCGACAACTTCGAAGAAAGCCAAGAACATGAGGGAGACCACGGCCGTGTAGTGGTCCATCAGCTGAAACACGTAGATACCTCCCTGTGCAGGTAGGACAAGAGGAAGAGGAAGACAAACATGACCAACCCATACCATGACTAGGCTACCACACATCCTCAGATATGTTTCTCTGAGAAGTAAAAGAGTTTAGCTGTCACAGACGGTACCTGGGTCACATGAGGAATCCCCAGGGCGAAGCCAACGATGCACACAGCCAGGGTCAGCAGCTCTTCTCTCTTTATGAAACGCAGAACTTGGGGGCCAAACTCATCTTTTATGAACGTGATGGCTACCTCAGCTGTGGCGAACTGTGGCACACAAAAAAGCACAAACTGCGTTTTAAAATAGTAATGAAAATGACTGTGTCAAAAGTGGTTTCCTCTTGATTTGTTTTGGCTTTAATTCATTCTAGCACTTATTTTTAGGATGCAATTATGAGTCTGTGCAAAGACCTGTGTAACCACAAAAGAGATTAGTGCGAGAAAGGAATACAAATAATTGTTTAGCATATAAGGGCGAGAAGAAAAAGATATCAATCACCTAAAGATTGCAGATTATACTTGAACCAATATGTAGATTGACCATTTTAAATAAATACACTTGAATACAGGAGGCTGTGGCTCAGTGGAAAGTGTGCTGGACTTTGAATCAGGGGGTAACAAGTTCGAGTCCCACTGCAGCCAGCATGTCGTTGTGTCCCTGGGCAAGACACTTCACCCCAAATCTCTTCTGTGGGGATTGTGGGGATTGTCCACAGTACTGAATGTATTATTCGCTTTGGATAAAAGCATATAACAAATGACATGTAATGTAATACACCTTCAAATTGTAAGTGATTATTGTTTTCCATGTCAATGGCCAAAAGGTGGACACAGTTGGGTTAACAGGCAGAGAGAAATAGTCAACCTGAATCTGCACAGTTGTAGAAACCGGGGATACATCTTTTGTCATTTTTATGAAGACATGAGTTAAGTAACGTAAAACCGTTTTGCGCTATTTCCCCATATCTGCCTGCTTCCTTAAAAACTAAAAAGTCGGGCCACTGTGTTTATATGAGTGTGTGAGAGATGCTCACCTGGCTGTCCAGGCCCAGACACAGCAGCATGAAGAAGAAGAGAGGAGCCCACAGCTGATGGACGGGCATCGTGGAGAGGACTTCAGGGTACACAACAAACACCAAGCCAGGACCTGAGACATCACACAGTACAGAAGTTGTTAGTAAGCCTAGATGCACATTTAAACAAATATACCTAAATTCAGCTAGGTTCATGAACCTGTGGTTAAACTTAAACTCAGATATTTTACAGTTACTGGTTGAAAGGCTACTGGGATGTTGCAAGACTAGTTCATTCAGACTCTGCGCTCGGCATGAGGAGTTAAAGAGCACCTTGGTGTACTATTTATTTGAAGGACAAGACCAAACAACACTTTTTTTTTTACACGCTATGGTCATAAAAAATGAATGATGGTGTGAGTTACGGCTACTAAAGGAAGACAGAGTGCATAACCCTGTTTGACTTGTTGACTTGTATAGCAAGTTGTACATTTAAACAGGATGCAATGTCAGTGTTGTATGGTGATTGCAGGTTAAAATCCTTTACATGCATTGAAGAAGGTCCTAAACTCAAACACTAAAAGGGTTTAGAGGCATTGCTTTTCTTAGGAGGAGGAATACAGAAAATGCATTGGTTGGCCCACCCTGTCTACACACACACAAATTATATACTTTTAAGATTACTCAAAACATATTTACAGGAAGATCAGATCAGGTAGTCATTCAAGAGAGCAGTTTTATATTGTTTTGATGGCCTCAGGCCCTGACTAAACCCCTCTGATGTTATCTGAAGACTCGGTTATTGAAGCAAAACAACCTCCCATTTTAGTCAGGGAGTTGTTTTAGTCAGTATGGGAAGGGGAGTCTAGTTTTACAGTTATTGTAAGAGTGAATTAAACAAGAAAGAGAATCACATATCCTTACTTTTAGTCACTATTCTGGGTCAATCTCAATAACATTGGATATAGAATTCCCAAAATGCAGCCTTAACATGTATTCATTACACACATCAAGTTTCTATTGCAGTACTTGCCATAATTGCATTATAGGAGTTGTTTTTATTAAAGACAGTATACAGCAGCCTGAGAAGTACTCCCAGACCTGAAGATGTGTAAAATGAGCTCCATAAGTAAAATCTGTAGAGTAGGCCTACTGCTTTAAGAAATTGTAAACTTCCCCTAATGGCGCATTTCTACTAAAGCGCGGTTTAAGCGTGCCGTGCCCGGCCCTATTTTGGTTGTGTTTCCACTTTTTCACAGTTTTCTGGCTCTCCAAAACCTAGGTTCTTTCCGGGCCAACAACCGGGCTGAGTATGCTAAACTAGTGAGAGAATCGCTGGCAACTACTACAAGATGAACATATTTTACCGTTATTTAATTGTAATGCACGTTTCAAAATGATGCCGAAGTAACAACATACTGATACCGGTTAGTAAAAACCATGAATTAATTAACAAGTCTGCAGACAGACGGCAGGCGGAAACATTTTAAAATGCGTGTTTTCTGAATGGAGATCGGCTAAGCTAACGTTGTCTATATGCTCCGACCGTCCACACTCACAACAACGGCCTATACAGACATAAATAAACCAGCGACTGTATTCGCCATGACACAGACAGTCTGTGGTTTGTAGTTGTTTAACTTTTGTATAGTTTCTGAACAGATATGTGGAACTGTGAGCTCTGAGGGCTAACAGCTAACGGCTGATGTTGTTTTTCTGGGGTTCGCATTGAAAATGACGTCACGGCACTGCGTTACTATAGTTACTACCCCAGTTCCTAAACTGTAATGGAAAACGCAGCATAAATGTCCCCGAATGACCTGCCTACTTTAAATATGCACAGCAGATGTGCACGTCTTGAAATCTGTGGCTTNTGGCGATCAAACTCTTTAACTCTTCACCCTTAAGTAAAGGGAACTGAGAACTTCCACACCAACACTATGTGCAATATACATATCAATATAATTGCCATCATTACAATACACTCGCTGCTGATATATATAACTATGTGCAATTATTATTAGTATTATTATTTAGTATTATTAAAAATGCTATGATAACGTGCAATTACGTAACTGCCACTACGTTTAATTGTTTGCACTACTAACTACTAAATACTGCTAATAATTGCATTGATTGTGTGACCATCTATGTTTCTATGTTTCTACGTTTCATGTTGTCTGTAGATATTTAAATTGCTCTTTTTGCTGCACTTTTAGTGTACAGTTTTGCTGTTGTGCTGCTGTGTTTATTTTGTTTATTGTATTATGTTACTCTGGCACAACAATTTCCTTCGGGATAAATAAAGTCTTATCTTATCTTATCTTATCTTATTGTGCAGGAAATCCACTCATCCTCGCTGCTCCACAAAACAACTGAGAGCCAAAACTGGGTTACTGTCTGTTAATGAACTTCAAGGGGCAACGTTTCACTCCCTTGTGACAACTTCTTTTTCTTTTCCCTCCTCTAGTGTTCCTCTGTTACTCCGAACCCTTATTTTGATACTTCCTTGCTGTGTAAAAGGAAGATGGTATTTGTGTGCGTTTCTGTCTATCTGTGTGAATGTTGGTGTAAAGCTGATTAACAAGCACAGATCAAGGTCGATAACATACTGCTTCTGGTCAAATACAATACAAGACAGGAGTTTTCCCTGATCTTTAGTCTCATCTTTCACATGCATGATGAGTTCATTGTGATGGCCCTTCACTGCAGCTGCTTTCCTCAAGCTCTTTGAGGAGGATTACTACATTACATGTCACTTGCTTTTATACAAAGTGACTTACATACTCAATACTGGACAGTCCCCACAGGAGCAATTTGGGGTGAAGTGTCTTGCCCAGGGACACAACGACATGCTGACTGCAGTGGGGTTTGAACCTGTGACCCCAGGTGACCCCTGATCCCAAGACTAAGGCTCTATCCACTGCGCCACACGCCTCATCTACTATGAGGAAGATATAATGAAACCTGTTTCTAGTGAAATCAGCTTTATTTTTTTTCGCCACTCTTCAAAACCCTTGTGTGTGTATGAAGTCAACTTGAGGTTAAGATGTCATTTTATTGTCATATAGTAAAGGTCTGTAAGAAGTTCAGGGCAAAAAAACAAATGGAACTGTCGAACAAGTAAAGTTTTGATATCAAACTGATATCTGAATATAAGAAGGATACCAGAACCATCTCAATGAGCGTTTAAATATTGTAAGAAATCTACACATAGGGGTACATGTATGAGTGGTTGTATATACCATAAGCTCACACAGATTTGTATGTATAAACAATATCTGTATGTACATACATTCAAACTCCAGTTGTTTGTGATGAATTAATGGAAATATTGTTGCACCTGCAATGCTAATTAGAGATTTCCTCTCTTGTGTTTTCCCAATCTCCAGGCAGAACCGACACACTAGTGGGTTCTTACAGTTCTCTATAGTGAGGAGGTGTAATCAGCGTAGAAATATATGCAAAACAAAGGTACAAAGGTTTGTATTAACATTGCAAAGAACGAGGATGTAAAAAGCATTCGGCCTGAATCCCACTGCTTGTGAATTAATGTAACCTTCATCACATCAGCCTGTTCAAAGGTTTTACATGGCAGTCTTTACATTGAATGCATACAGGATTTTTCTGAGCAAGCCTATTTGTTTATTTATGGTTTCCATTTCAACCAATTAAAATGCTAATCAGTGTATCTTGCCAACTATTCATATGCAGATAAGAGCTTTGATGCTACAGTGTGCTGCTGCTGCATAACTGCCTTTGTTTAACTAGGACTTTTAGGGCGCTTTCCTTCAGTCTGTGTGTGCATACATAACAAGTTTGTCCCTAAATAGAGCTCACCTTGTGCTGGTTATGAGGTCAAAGCTCGTGATATTAGTTGGCCTTCCTCCTTAAAATGAACTGCTGTTACACTAACAGAGATACATTTTACTTTTCATGAAACATGGATGTGTATTTATGTTTACATGTACATCACTCATTGCTGAAATTAATTTTCCCTATACAATAGTTTCCATTCTAAAATAAAACTAATCCTATCGGGTACATCAGTAAGATGTATTGTAGGCTGATTTTTAGTAGATCTCATTTATTTTTAACCAATTTATTCTATTCATAATGTTTTACTTGTGGCGTGTCCCTTTTTAGTTGTTGATTTGGATTAATCTTAAGTCGTCCAATAGTCCCATGACTGAGCTTGTGGCTGAATGTGTCCGAGTTTGAAATCATGTGCAGATATTTATGAATATGCCTTGACTTCACAGCCCAGGACTGATCTGAGCTACGCCCTCCAGGAAAGTGAGAGATCTTGCTTTTTGCTTGATGGAATTAAAAAGCTATCTTTTCTGATTGTGGATGAGAATAGATGTTGTTGTATCTGCATACATATAAGGAGAGCCTGTCTTTTATCTCTCTGTCTTTGTATCATAGCAGAAGACAACATTTTTCCGTGTCTGTGGGTGCAGGACCAAACTGCTTCTTCCATGCTAACCTAATGAGATTGCACAGAAATTGCTTTCATAAAGTTGGCAGGGAATTGAATTTGGCTCCGGGGCTGATGAAGCTTCTGCATGCCATTCACATCCCTTTCAACATGAGGATTGTGGTGTCTGCCTTTATTCAATTTAAATTACATTTTGTAAATCAGCATCCTAGTTCAATTCATTTTATTATCTCTCCCCTACAATGTCCCCAAATATAGGCCCTCATTTGCATAATATTGGAAACCTTATTTCGCTTTTATGTTTCTTTAGATGGAAGACACTAACAAACGCTTGCCTTACCTGACTCATTCTGTATGTATCCCTTAAATAATGACATAAAAGTGGTTTTTTCTCTCAGTCACAAATATGCTTCTCCTTGATGACAAGGATTCGTATCGGAGAAAACCACATACTTATTACCGAGATTATCTTTTGCTTCATTGATTAAAGATTATCCTCCTTACTTATGATACGCAGGAATGTCTAATCTCCCACTCTCAAATGTCCTTTTCTCAACTCATTGTAAACATGGCAGTTATCTGATACTCGTTATCTCCACTTTTGGTGTGGATTGCTTATCCCCACACACCACATGCAGATGGCTCGTCTGAATGCTCCTTTTACAAACACAGCATGCTTTATATTGTTGCCCCATCACACATTCAGGGTAA